AAAACTGATTCTTATGAAATTTCATTTCAGCCTGTTTAAGAAGGCACAGTACTTACCAGAGTTGTGTTCCATATGCAAGTGATGTATGCATTTGGAGAGGACTTTTTAATGATAGTTATGTCAACTGTCACATGAATTGTTTTGATGAAGGCAGTTGCTTTAAATCTCAAGGTGAGTTTTTTGTGGAAGTGTTATTATTCTGTTAGGCACAAATCTTATACTCGTAGATGTAAGCAGTAATACTATGAGTTGTAAATGTGTGCTGTTTGCTGATGATCTGATTTTTGATATTCCTCCAGACCCTGTGGGGCATGTGGTAGCGTAGTGGTTGATCTGTGCTACAAGCTGGAAGGTCACGAGTTCAAGTCCTGATGAGGTCATTGGATTTTTTCGGTTGACCTAATCCTTCCAGCCGCGCTAGGCCCTGGGGTTTACTCAGCCTCTAACAGAAATGAGTACCAGGAATTAATTAAATAATTTTCCTGGGGAGTAAAGCGCAGCCAGCGTGTAGGGCTGACAACCTTACCACCTTCTATGAGCCGATTGTCTAGACAATGTGGGACCTTCAGCGTCTCAAAACCCTATGGGCCTTCACGGTCTGGTTCGGGGATAGCTTTACTTTTTACTTTTTTCTACTTTACTCCAGACCCTGTAATCTATACCTTTATTATTTTGTAAAGCAGAGAAAGACCAATATTGATAAGAAATCCTAACTTCATTAACAAGCATATGTAGCCAGTATTTTTCTGGGGTTTGGTTGCTTTCCTTGTAAATGTCAGAATATATAGTAGTTAGAATTTTAAAAAGGAGTAAGATGGAAAATAAGAAATTAAGGTTTGTTCTTCTAATTAAAATATAAAAGAGAATTCAGTTGAGACTTCACATCGCATCTAAAAACTTTGCCACCATACTTGCACATTACTTTAGCAGCCATGGCTAGCTTATAGATTGATGAGAATTTGGAGTACATTTCATAATATCTTTTGGTGTTCTCCCATTTCTTTTTCAAGACACTGAAGCTGAAAAACAATAATACAGAATTTTGCTAGTTTTTTGGTATTACTGTGAAAGATGGGATCATACTTTGAAGGAAGAATGAAAATTACAAGTGTTTTAAAACAAAGTGATCAGGAAAATGTTCAGATTTAAGAAGGATGAAATAAGTGAGTAGCTTAGGGTACTCAATAATGTGGAACTTTGTGTTTGTGGATTGCCTAATGCTTTGGGAGTAAAATCAATATTGTCGTAGGTCAGGCATATAGCTTAGATGGGTAGGTTGGGAGTACAAGAAATGCATATAGAACTTTGGTGAGTAAACTGCTTCTTGAAAGACCAAGTGATGGAGGGATAACATTAAGTTGGAACGTTTGAAAATATGTGAATATCATGGCTCAAGATCATGTCCTGTGTTACTGGCAGTATTGAACCTCTTTCTTCTAATAGAAGAAGATTAAGATCCCAAAGTTTGCAATGATGGTACATTAGTACAAATAATATGTTTTTGGACATTATCTATTGTCCTGTCTTTATCTAAAACAGTATGCAGTCTCCAAAATGTGTTTTTAAAAATAAACAGACGGTATTTTTAGATAAAGGATGATGGATAATGACAAAAAACATAATATTTCTACCACAAGATTAGTTAATTTAATGTTCTGTAAAGTATTTAGAAGTAGTCTAGGTGTAAATTGTAATTAATCAACTAGTATATATGGACAAATACCGTCTTAAGTGCAACAATTTTATTGTAGTTTTAGTTCTTTTTCCTCCTCCACACTACATGTTTCGGCCCTAAATGGCCATCATCAGGTGTGTATCACTCACGTAGCTGTTACACTGCTTGTTAAAATTTAAAATCACCAGTCTTTCTAATTGTATAAAATCTTTGTTAATCTACACGCGTCGATTTGATTTTTAAATTATCACTTTTTATACTTTAATTCAAGTTAAAATGTCTTTTTTAACATTTTAACATTCTAACTTTTAACTTGAATTAAAGTTTAAAAAGTGCTAATTTAAAAATCAAATCGACGCGTGTAGATTAACAAAGATTTTATACAATTAGAAAGACTGGTGATTTTAAATTTTAACAAGCAGTGTAACAGCTACGTGAGTGATACACACCTGATGATGGCCATTTAGGGCCGAAACATGTAGTGTGGAGGAGGAAAAAGGACTAAAACCACAATAAAATTGTTGCACTTAAGACGGTATTTGTCCATATGTATTGTGTGAGTGTAACAGGATGCTGAAATATAATATAATCAACTGGTGACTGCAAAGAAAATTTTATATCTTTATCACAAAATTCTGCTTTTTAGGAGGCACGAGAATATCAGATGTAGGCACAAGAGTAACGATAGGAGCCGTAACATCGATACTGGTGGCATTCATACTATTCCTTACTTGTCTGTGGCTCTTGAGACGAGGCAAGAAACTTTGTTGGTCAAGTGCATGCAGCAGTGGGTCCCGTCCAACACCTCCCATTTCAAGAGTTGAGATGCACTCAGATTTGCAGGATGAAGAAATGAGGACTTATCCTACACCATCAGCACCACCAGAACCACAAGAAAGTGCCTCAGTTACCATTGCTCAAGATAAAGACTTGCCCCCTTCTTATGAGTCTCTCTTTCCAGAAAGATAAGTGACACAATAACCATAGTTTAATACTGAAAACTTTGAAGAACCAAGCTCTTATGTTTTATATATGTATAAGTGGTTTAGCCAAATGATAATTAATGTCATGTCTAAAGGCAGACACATAAACTTCACCCCTTGAAGCCTCTATTTCTGAGCACACTGTAGATTCAAAGAACTACATTTAAGATGGATGCCACAATTCTCAAAGCATGTAAACTGCTGGTGCAAAAGGATTATAATTGTTGAAGAGTTCTCTCTGCTGGGATGTAAGCTGTTTAGTTCATTGAAAATTAACCAATGTTTAAGAGGAACATATTGCCTCCATTTTCAGGGTCAGAGAATAAACCAAGCAAAAAACCAGCATGAAAACAGATGGCAACATGTTGTTCTGAAAGGTTGGTTGGCTTTCAGCAGACTATATGGCATTGTACTTGCATCCCAGAGGACAGAACTCTTCATAACCACTGCTGTGAGAACTTCAAATCCTATTAGAATTATTATTTTATGGTAAATATGTATTTTGTTCATGATTTCTATAGGCACCCAGGCTTTGATTGCTGGTTATATTTATGTAATATATTCTTGACTATGCTGTCAGTTTTGATCTGAAATCAAAGCTGAGTCTGTCTTGATGTTTATTGTAGCACCTTGCCATCACAGTGAACTGTGCATGACAGTAGGCTTCAAGGTGTTTACACTTGAGGGTGCTTAGGAATTACAAACGGAATATCACCATCCTGTTAAATTGATGTATCCCTCTTCACATTCATTCCTATCTTTAATGCAACTCTATTCACAATCTCTTCTTAATTTAAAATAACATTAAAATATGAACAGAATTGCATTAAAGATGGAAATTAATGTGCAGAATGATTACAGTAGTTGAAATGTCTAACAGAACCATCTCACTGTCACTGCCCTGTTATGTTTTGGCAGTCTTCTGTATATGTCAGCACCACATTTCATACACTATAACCGGCTTTGACATCCCTCATTTGCAAACCCATTTTGTGTCTGAGCTTTCCCAAACGCTGGCCAAATCCTCTCTAATGGACGAATTTTTTTGTTCCAGGAACACACGAGGGAACTATTTTGATGTTTTTAATAGAAAATATTAATAAGTGAATATTTTTTCTAAAATTCCCAATTTTTTGGACAACCTTTTTCAATATTGAAATTTTTCTGACCTCACATTTCTGATTATATATGTTTCTTATAACTATGTGGTCTCGCGTGTACAAATGTTTTATTTTGTTTGATATGCCTTACATGTACATCATTTCAAGTTATGTTGCATTATTTTTGGTTCTGAAGACGACTGTATGTCACTTAAATGCCTGACAGACAATAAACAACTCTTGTAGCAAAGCCACAGCTGTACGCTGACTTTGATGTTTTACTATTTGCTGTGTTCTGACTGTTCATTAAAGAGTTGCATGACTGACAGATGTTCGTATCTCGTACATGTCTAGAAGATACAGGATTCTTTCAAGGGATTGATCTTGCCCAGACTGATGGTACTGCTTGACTCTTTATTAAAACATCATCAAATTATTTAAAAGCATTAAGTCAAACTTTTGGAGAAACTTGCATTTAATATTATCAAAGTGATTTTTGTAAGTAACTTTTGTCGAGTTATCTGCAGACTCCAATGTAGCACGATATTTGTTTATCTTTATGAGTCCCTTCATCTCCTTCCAGGTTGTAAATAAGATGTCACAGTTTACTTTGTATTAGAAAAGTAGGAGTTAAAAAGATAACTGAGGAGTGAAGAAAGCAGTCTTCTGGGACCGACGTTTCGGAGGAACGTCAGTTAACACCACATATACACGGTGCCAAATCCCAGAAGACTGCTTTCTTCATAGTCACCGCCATGAAAGCCTCAAATCTTACATAACTGAGGAGTACTATGATTCCATTGCAGACTTCAAGTTTTATGAATCTTGAGTTGATAATGTCTTATTCATATAACAAAATTGATAAAATTTAGTTTAGGTCATGGGATAGCATTCTCGAATCAGGTGCCGATGGTCATAGGACTGGTTCCAAGCTGAGTCAGATTTTATTGTTTGCAATTGCTGATACAGTACATGTTACTGTTACTGCTTCTCTTTTTTTGAAGAACATAGTACTTAATTACAGATCTTGGGAACATTAAATTTGTCAGATATTATCTCAGTTTTGCACCATTACCATGTTTATAATTGTTGATTGATGAGTTATTTCATACAGAATAATTTGTAGGTATGTTTAAGGCCTATTTCCATTCTAAATTTCACACAGCTAGTGCCACTGATTCATTAGTCCTTGAGCCAAACCATAATACAGATTTTATGGTGCTGTACTTTCACCGTTTTACTGAAAAAAAAAACAAACACCTTAACAAAAGGTACATACTTTTTCAAATTTCTTTTACCATGCATGATTTTGGGATGCTGTATGAAGTGATGCTAGTTTAGCTCTCATCTCACAAGCTTGTGTGCCTGCCACATTATTACTATTCTTAAATTAAAAATTATGAGGTTTGGGTTAGTTAGTTAGTTATTGGAGAGGGTGGGTTTCCCCATGCACTTAGACCTGTATTGGTCCATTGTGCTTCCCTCTATGATTTCTGCCAGTCTCTATATCCTACCAGTACTGGTGCTTACCATCAGTCCCGCCCAGCGAGCGAGACCGGCTCTACTAGCTGAGAGGTATCTATAATGCTTCCCCCATCTACCGGAGGTATTAGAGACTGCTGTTGGGCAGGAAACGTCCGTAATTTGGCTCAGTGACCTCCTTTGGAGATATGAGGTTCTTTTACGTGCTGTAAAGTTCCCGGAGGACTTGTTCCCTGAATTTTTCCGCCCTTAAAAATTCGACGACCTCCGCTGGGTATTTGAACCCGTGTGCTACGAGTCATGAGGTGGGAACGTTACCTCTAGACTATGGAGGCCGCTGAAGTTTGGGTTGCCATCAATGGCATATGTTAGTACCAAGTTTTGTGAAATTCAGTTGACTGGTCAGAAGTTGAATTGGTAGTACACACATAGGCAGCCTGGTGACGTCAGAAGCCCACTTGCTTTCCTTAAGAAGGGATTGTAAGCTGAATAGTGTTTCCAGATGCGGTAACTTTACACAGTGTGTAAAAATAAATTCAACTTGTTACATGAATCTGCTGGTTGCATGAGAAATGCTTTAATGTCACAGATCGTTGATGACTCAACACTGAATTCCTGTCTAAGCACATTGTGATCTTCCCTCTTCTCCATTCTTTTACATATTTCCATTTTCTGGTTACTGGGAATGTCTAAATGACAAACATAGGAAAGATTTTGTCCATTCTTTAACATAACATAAACATTGTCGTGTGAAATTAATTTTCCTATCTATTGTATAATGTTTACATTGAAAGAAAATGACTGTTAAGTAGAGGAAACTCCAGAAGCTTCCAATTTGTAAGAGGAAAGGTTAATTTTCATAAAAGGTGTTCCAAGTAACATCTGTTACTTCTCAGCAGATGTGGCAGTTGTATGAAACTGAGACTGTATGTTAATTCCCTGGTTGTTTTTTGTTTTTGTAAGGCACCAAGTAATCATTAAGTTTAGGATCAAATATAATAAAATCTCCTTTTGTACTCCAACCAACTGCTTATTAAGTGTTGTCCTTTACAAGCAAAAGTCTGCTAACTATTTGCTGTACACATGCAATGTACAAAGTTATATTGGAACCAACTTATATGTATGTACACTGCCAGTTCTGAACACAGTACAATCACCTGACATTTTGTGGATACTAATGCCATTTCTTGCTTTGGAATGGAAAAGCCACGTTTGGAACACTGGAAGTTTTCAGTCTTTAAGCATGCTGTGAAGTGGTTGACTTTACCTTGATCATTAGTCCATCAACAGTTGTGACAGTGGATGTTTCCTGGAAAAACCACCCAGAGAATGCCAATTCCAAATATTCATTCTCTGTGTTTTACTTCTGATTCTCTGTCATTGGTTGTCAGTAACATAGAACAAATAATTGTCTTTTGTTTTTGTTCTTTAAACTGGTTAATAGTGTTGAAGTCAATCCATACTGTCTTCCTATTTCACTCTTTGACAAGATGTATTTTTTAAACCACATCTTACTCAGGGTTCTTGTAAAGTTCATGAACTCCTTTTGTTTGCATATATTGTAAATATTTTTCTATATTATTATCATTATTTCTGTATAAATTCAAGTTATAAATGTATTTTATAAACTTAATACAGTGACCTAATTTTTGTACAATGAATGCAATATATTTTTTCATAATATATTATTGTAAAACGTTGTTGCATGAAACAGAATATCTAGAATACAATGGTGGAAATGAAGAACAAGTTTTAGCACCTGATGCCACAGTAACAGCAAATGAATGAGCACCTTGTTCATATGCTTTTCTGAAATATGGAACATTTGATTGTATAAGAGTGCTTATTAGAAGCCATATTTTAAGTTAATGTTCTAACATGTTGGACCTTTGTTTTACGTTCACTTGGAACTGTTTCTTCCCTTGAGGTTTTTCAACCAGAATGTGTATGTATTTCTCATATATAATTGCAGACTGTAATATCCTCCTTGAAGAGCAAATGTTCTGAGCACAGTCATGCATTCACACAAAAAATTATATATTCCAGTAATAACTGAACCATATATCCTGAAACAGTAACATTTACTGATTAAATTAAATAAATCAGATATGAGATTCCTGTGTGTTACAATAGCTTACTCAATCTCTCTCTTATTACCGCATTATAAGTTAATATTTACTTCTGAAATGTATTTACACATAATGATGTATATATGGTTTTACCTCCTGAATGGTTGATGTTCACTTTGTATCAATATTGTGTAGTGAGACTATTAACAAGCATAGGCATATCTGTGATTTGAATATCTTCTATCATATCAGTTATTTTTTATTTTAAATGGAGAATTTGAATCTTATGTACACAGATGCTAAGATTTTGTATGACTTGCATACTGATATAAAATGGTGTAATGTTTTGTAAATTGTACAACTATGTTCCAATGTCAGTATTGTAAATCAAGGACATCTGACTGCTAGTCCTTGTGTAAGTTAGTAAAGTGAACCATATATCTAAATAGATGGGTGGAACTTTGAATGCTGAAACTCCTAATTTTTATACTTCACAAATGATTGTGTTTTTATTATATTTTTCCTATTATGATGTGTTTTCACAGTTTCCTTTGTACTGTATTTTCATATATACTTTTACAGAGGTGGGTTATATACTTTTTGGATAATCAGTGTTAAAGTATGGCTGACCTGCCTTTGCTGCAGGTTACCCTTCACCTGAATTTCAGTTGTATGATGTGCTTCCACCTTTAGTTAGTTAGTTATTTAGAGAGGGTGGGTTTCTCCATGCACCGTGACCAGTTTGATCTATTGTGCTTCCCTCTATGATATTCTGCCAGTCTCTATACCCTACCGATAAATGCTGCGTACTATCAGTCCCGCCGAGCAAGCGAGTTTGGTCACTTGCTTAGCGGTATCTATAATGCTTCCCCCATCTATCAGAGGCCTTAGAGACTATTGTTGGGCGGGAAACGTCCTGGAATTTGGATCAGTGATTCCCTTTGGGGATATGAGGTTCTTTTACGTGCCGTAAAGTTACGACACGGGACACACAGCTTAAAGTCCCTTCCGGAGGACTTGTTCCCTGAATTTTTCCGCCCTTAAAAATTCGACGACCTCCGCCGGGTATTTGAACCCTCGTACCACGAATCGTGAGGTGGAAACGTTACCTCTAGACTACAGAGGCCGCTTGCTTCCACCTTTATAAATGTCGCTAGCTAAATCTCAGGTTCATTGATTTGAGTAGGAGCTCTATAGGTAGGGTCAGCTCAGTATGGTAATTAATGAATCCAATAAAGCAGACTAAACCCAAGGAATATTGCATGCAGAATCTTGGTGGACGCAGTGTAAGTAAAGAAGTAAACAAGTAGTCTAGACTGAACCGCTACAACATAGTGACAACATCAACACAGGGAGCAGCCCACACACACATCATCATAAGAAAGTTTAATATACATCATTCCAAATAAACAACCTGTTGGGTGACATACAGAATAATGAGCAGAAACTCCGAAGAGGATAGTAAGGTCACGACCACACGACCTAACTTATGGGAGAAGATCACGATAAGCATGTGCCACACACTAGTCACTTCTACTACCAGAAAATCATTGTCAACATGTAGCGGTCACAAAGTTTTAAAGAGATTTATCACAAAATATTTCATTTCAATTTTTGTACAATTTTAATTTTTATGTTTTAATCTTCAGTCTTTAATTTTTAAATTTTATTATCTAAGTATTTTAAATTCTAACTGAAA